GAGAGTTCACTGTGTTATGGGAAGCCGGAGCTGCGATTGCCTGCTGGTGGTCCCCACCGGCGATCAGGTAAATTTGGTGCAATTTTATGGATTGATCTTGATTTTTTATTTTTAAATTTCGCAATTTTTGTGAAATGTGCCTATGGTAGAGCAAAGATTGAGTTTTTTTAGAAAAAGGATGGATTACCACAAAGGTAATCCAGCCAGTTAAATTAAACAAAAGTGGTTGTTAAAAAAAAGATACACACCCCCAACCAAGAGTGTGTAGGTAAAGTTCATAACAGAGACTACAACGCATGAACCAATACCTCTCTGTACACATCTATAGATCCCTCCCACAAGGAGATGACCAAGATAACTACAATCAAAACCCAAAAGTAAAGTGTTTCACAATTGAACAAAGTTTTAAGAAACAAACAACAAACATCATCATAACTGAGCCTAAGCTGATTGTAATTCATTCCAGCTGAATCACCTCATTTCCCAGATCTCTCCATCAGCATGCTATCTATCTGCATTCTTTTTTCCTTCTTCTTTCTTGTAGTCTGATAGCCCGAGCCGAAACATTTTTAAAACCTAGCCAAAATGTTAAAAATATCATAATTTTGTTCTAAAGCTCAAGATATCTCTTCCTTTTATTAGAAAAAGTCTATCATTCCGTTCCTACCATACACACCAAACTAAAGAACAAATAAAGACATCTCTTTTCATTTTGCAATTGTCAACTGCGCCAATTTCCCAGTTAAGCCACACCTCTTTCAAAGAATTCAAACTAAAAATTTCCTCAATTTTTAATTTGAATTGTTGAATTGAATTGATCTTCATATTGAGTAAACAAACTCACATTTAATGAATAAATGTGTACGACTCTCCTCCAATTTAGAACATAAACAACAGATCTTTTCTAGATGGATTCCTTTCTTTTCCAGCACATCCTTTGTATTCAAGTCATGTCTTAGAGCCAACCAGACAAGGAATTTCACTTTTAAAGGAATAAGAATCTTCCATAGATTTGCACAGTCATACCTCAAGCCTCCATCAATCAGAAATTGATAAAAAGATTTCACTGTGAAACTCCTTTTTGCCTCCCACAACCATTTCCTTTTATCCTCATTTTGCTCTAAACAAATGAAATTAAGTAAATTCATCAAAGAGAAATACTAGGAAACCAAAACCCCAGTTAACTGTCTTCTAAATTGCACAACCCATCTCCACACATTATTCTCTTTCTTTCTCATACTACTAACAGTATCAAAATGAGAAGATGTGATAACAAATAAGGATGGAAATAAAACTGCAAGAGTAAATGAACATAACCATTTGTCAAGCCAAAATAAAGTGTGATTTCCTTCTCCAACCTCCACTTGAGAACTGCATAAAAAGCTTTTAATATTAACAAAAAAATTCCTCCAAAAATGTGATAAAAGTACTCTTCTAGAGTATAAATACTCTATCCAACTTTTTCTTTCAAAATATTTATAAAAACTAATTTGTTTCTAAAGACCAGGATTTCCATCAAGCCATTTTCAAATCTATTTTCCTAACAAAACTTTATTCATAATTCTCAAATTTATGATCACCAAACCACCATAATATTTACGTCTACAAACCTCCTCCCATTTTACCAGATTGGTGCATCTTTATGATCCAAAGATCCAATCCATAAAAATCTTCTTCTCATCTTATCAATTTTATCAATGATCCAAGGAGGAAATAAGAAGAAAGATAGTCAAAAAATTGGCATAGAGGAAAGAATTGAGTTAACTAAAACTAGTCTATCACCTCTTGATAACGATTTACCTTTCCACAATGCTAATCTCCTCTCTATTTTCTCAATCAAAGGAAACCGGTCTTCTTTTTTTTAATTTTCCAGGCCTTAAAGGCACACCAAGATAAGTAATAGGAAATTTGCCACTTTTTCAATTCAACATAGTAGCCAAATTCTGTTGTAAAGCTTCATTATCCTCAAGAGCAATAAGAACACTCTTATTAAATTTTATCTTTAAACCAGAAGCAAGTTCAAAGCAATATAATATCGGTTTCAAAACTGTTAAATGCTCTCTGTTATTTTTGTAAAAAATCAAAGTATTATCTGCATATTGCAGACAAAAAACTTTGTGATTCATGTTAACAGGATCTAAACCTTCAATAAGTTGAGAATTAACTGCTAAAGATAACATTCTAGTAAAAAAATCAACAGCTAACATAAAGAGAAGTGGTGATAGAGGATCTCCTTGCCGAACACCTCTTTTGGACATAATCCAATTCCTAAGTTTACCATTGATATTAATAGCTGACATGCCTCTTTTTAAGCACATATTTACCCAATTTATCCATTTGTCACCAAACTTTTTAGCTTTTAGCACCTCCAAAAGCTTTCAGCACCTCCAAAATGAAGTCTTAGTCTAACATATCATAGGCTTTCGCAAAGTCCAATTTTAGTAAAATTCCCCCCTTCTTATCGTTCTGAAAATAATCATCTATAATTTCTTGAGCTGTAACTACTCCATCAAACAAAAATCTGTTCTTAATGAAACCAGATTGCACTAGATCGATAAGCCACTCAAGCTTAGAATTCAGCCTATTAGTCAAGACTTTAGTAATTATCTTGTAAATCACATTAAGAAGACTGATAGGTCTGTAATCATTAACAGTACTAGCCTCATTCTTTTTTTGAATAAGAACAATATACGCATAATTAAGTCTAGTGATTTCTAATTTGCCTTCATAGAACTCCTCAAACAGTTTCATGATATCCAATTTTACAGTCTCCCAAAAGACTTGAAAAAAATAATGCAGGAAAACCATCAGGACTAGGGGATTTGTCCCCATTCATATCAAAGATGGCTTTATGAACTTCCTCCTCAGAAAAAGGAATTTCAATATCATTAGGACCCCAGTCAACTACAGGAAATAAACAATTCCAATCCAGCTGACATCTACTAGGCACATTTTGACCAAAGATTTGGTTATAATGATTTGAAAAAATCCGAACTATACCATTCTCTGAGTTCACTTCAATATCATTATGAATGATTGAAGAAATCAAATTATTCTTTTTTCTACCATTGGTAATTTTATGAAATTATGCAGTATTATTATCTCCTTCCTTAAGCTAATGAGCTTTGAATCTTTGCTTCCACATTTGTTCCTCTTGAAAAAGAATCTCATTTAACTGAATGGAAATATTATTTTTTTAATCTACTCACCATCCTCTAAATCTCTATTCTCCTCTATATCTTCCCATTCTAAGAGCTTTTCCAACAATTCCTTCTTTTTTTATTTGACACTATAAAAATTTGAATGCACTCATTGTTTAATAGATTTTCTCATAAATCTCAATCTACCAACAATGTTTTTAGCAGTAGAATCACTCTTAGGAGCACGATTCCACAATATAGGCACACTTTTCATAAAATCTTCAGATTGTAGTCATATTTTTTCAAATTTGAAAATTTTGACTTGCTGTTGATTATCCGCACAGTCAAAACTAATGGGAGCATGATCTGATAATTGACTATTAAGGTCTTGTTGTCTGGAAAAGGGAAATGCATCTTCCCACTCAGAGTTGAAAAAAACTCTGTCAAGTCTAGCCATAGAAGGTGATCTTCTCTTATTTGACCAAGTAAACTTTCTTCCATGTAAAGGACTATCTATTAATTTCAAATCATTGATCACTTCTTT